AGAAGAAGAAGAAGAAGAAGGAGGAGGAGGAGGAGGAGGAGGAGGAGGAGGAGGAGGAGGAGGAGGAGAAAGAAGAAGAAGAAGAAAACTATAAAATAGGTGATTCTTACAATGGGCAGGCACTAGAAAAGTTAGGTCTGACCACCTCTCTGTCTTTTTTCAGGAGATACTGCCAGCAGAAGGGAGGGTTGTGGCTAAACAGGACCTGTGTCATGCCTGACCTGAGTGCCCTCTAGTGCCCCTTCCCCATGCACATCCCTAGTGCTATGACCTTCCTCAATAGCAACTTGCTATCTTTGCAAGAAAGAAGCCATCTATTTGAGCCCGATGACTCCTCGGAGACTCGGTCTGGAATGGACCTGGAAGGTTCCAGCTGCCCAGAGCCCTGAATGACCAGTGAGCCCCTTTCCCTTCCCATCCAACCGTCTGAAAGTGGACAAATAGGCTTGGGGTCCTCCTTGCCTGACCTCCTACCTCCTGGATTTTAGGAACAGAGGAATAAGGGTCCCCCAGGCATGCTCCTAAAGAACCTCTCCATCTGGATCTATAGGTAGGCTTCGGGGAGGAATGGGAAACCCAGCCGTTAGGGGTAAGGTATTTTGGCAACTGTATGTCTCTATTGGAGAAACCTCAAAGTGACACACAATTCAGAAGAGAAGGCCAGCGGCCTGGGAGTAGTAAGGCTACTTCTGGGGGAGGGATTTGAGAGGGAGATCCTTGAACAGCAGTAACCAGCACTCCAGAGGCTACCTAAGGGCAAAAGAAATAGCCTGGATGATCTCACCAGTTTCCATGTTGAGTCAAGGTGGGGAGGCCTGGTTGGGAAGAGGATGGGTTAGACTAAGGCAGACAGAAGCCTGAGAACACAGGTAAAAAGCCTGACACACCACTACCTCCATCAAGAAGAGAGTTTGGGGCTGGAGAGATAGCTGATAGAGTGTGGTTAAGAACACGGGCTGCTCTTCCAGAGGCCCTGAGTTTGGTTTCCAGCACCCACGGCAGGCAGCTCACAAACACCTGTAACTATTGTCCCAGACAGATCTAACGCCTCTGGTTTCCAAGAACACACGTGTTTATGTTTGTATAATCACACACAGGTATGCATAATTAAAGAAAAATTTTTAAGGAAGGGAATGGGGTAGCCCCGGTCCAAATGCCAGGGGGTGGGCCACCTCCAGGCCACTGCTCTCCTCAGGAGGCTGAATCCTGTCCTACCCCAGGTGCAAATCTCACACTCTCTTCTATGCCCCGGCTGAACACAGCAAGGCCCATGCAGCCGTTCCTGTTCCTGCCCAGCCTAGGCCAGCCTCACTCACCTTTCTCACAGAGCCCTTTAGCGAAGAAGTTGCATACAGCTGAGCTGGACTCTGGAGAAGAGAACAGAGGAGAAGGTAGCTTCCCCAGAGCTGAGCACCCCACCAAGGCACCTCAAGTTTCTCTTCAGCAAGTCCCACCTAAGCCTCCCACGGGCTTGGATCTGTGTGAGCCCCCCAAGTATTCTTCCTGGCTGCCACATTTGGGTTCTTGCTTTCCGGTGTTGTTTGCTTGGTTCTTTGTTTATGACACAAGGTCTGATTCTGCGGTCCAGGTTGGCCTGAACTCATAGCAATCCTCCTGTCTCAGCCTCATGCTGGCTGCAGTTTCTGCCATTCGAGGCAGCTGTCATTTGTCCCCTCTTGTGGCAACTATGAGTTAAAGGTACCCTCTTCCTAAGCCACCCCCCCCCCCCGGCTTTCTGGAGCCAGCTTCTAAATTCCACTTAAACTCAGGATATCTCTAAGACGGGAGGTGCAAGTGTTTGGGGGCAGCTAGGTCTCCCTGAAGGCCAGGGAGAAGTTCAGAAATCTGTCTATCCTGGACTGTGAACCACCCAGAAGCCCTATGGGACAGATGGAAGGAAGTCAGGGAAGACAGCTTCAAGGACCCGGGCAGGGGAACCAGGCCATTGCCACTCACTGTCCATGCCCTGGAAAGGCAGGAGCCCAATCCCCTTCTGCAATTCCACATCCTGCTCGAAGGCGAACGTGAGCCCTTCCAGCCCCGCGATGATCTCTTCCATCTTAAGTCTCTCACTGGGATCGCTCCAAGTTGCTAGAGCCCCTACAGGTGGCTCCTATATAATCCATCAACCCTTAAGGGGCCAGGCCCTAGCTGATGCCTGCCCCTAGCCTCTCCCCCAGGTCACCTCTTCATTCAGGATGCCAGTGGCTAGGTGACTGCATATGAGTCTTTAACCGGGTTGACAGCTGTCTCAGCCCTCCTACCCAAGCAGGTGCAAGCACCCCAGGGCCCGACACCCCCACACTGTTCCCACAATCCCCATCCTCAGGTGGGGAGGGATTGGCAGACTCACACCTGTTTATCTCTGTGTATCGCCAAACATAGCCAAACTGAGGCTCCCATTGTGCCTGTGGGGACACAGCCACAGGTGAGCAAGGGAGATGCTGGCGCTAACCTACCTGCCACAGAAGTGCCATCGACTGCCTGAGCCTCGGGTGGGGTGTGGCGAGGGACAGAGGAACGCTTTCTCCCTTAGGTCCCAGCCACTTTCCCTCTCACAAGGCCCTCAGAGCCTCTTTTCCAGACTGTATGACAAGCCCCAAGTGTGCTCTCTTCCTGGAAGAGCACTAAAGGAATGAAGGCCAGAAGAATCGGAAATAGTTGCATCAAGGGCCCTTTGTTTACCCTGCAGGCAATCACAACTATAAACTTGGAACCAACCCAAGGCTGGTTTGGGGGAGAGGGGGGGTGACCTCCCAGCTAGGAATCCGCTGGGCCACCCCAGAGCCTCCCCTTCCCAGCCACCCCCAAAGTGCTTTGAAAATGAAATCTCCGTGCAGACGTTGTTTTATTCTTATGATGCCAGCCCTGCCTTGCAGGGCTCAGGACATCTGAATTGGCTTTCTTAGGAACATTTTTAAAACTCTAATTAAACTAGGCTGTCCCCTCCCCTTGCTGGGTCCTGAACTGGCCTGGCCTTTCCTGGAACCACTGTTTATGGGACGCACTGGCCTTTGAGGACAACAGAACCAGAACCGGAGCGTTCTCCTCCCAGGACCCGGTAGGGAGAGGTAAGCAGTGCCCCGAGGCCTGTGGCTGAGCGGACAGGATCCAGCCTGCCAGTTTTGTTTCCTGAGGCTGCCGCACCTAGGTTTGTTGTTCTTTTGAACTCCAGATCTGAAAAGAAAACAGCTGGAGAGATAAACCCACAGTGGGAATGGCGCGGGAGCTGGGTGAGGCTGGAGTAAGAGCTGCCTGGGATCACCCACCCTGTCCTTGTCCACACTGGGCACTGAAGGCAGAATGGCTACCGTGCTGTCTAGGTCTAGGGTCTAGGGATCTCTGGGAAAGAAGCCCTTGCATCTCTTGACCCTACCCCTAGGTATTGATTAGGTCCCAAGACTGTCACCTTGGGCTCATTTGAGAGAAGGTAGAACAGAGCAGGAAATCAGGCGTGTGAGGCCACGAGCACAGTGCAGAGCAATGTCCTAAAGATGGTGGATCACGGCCCTCAACACTCTAGACAGTAAGTGCTGGATGGAGTGGGAGGGCAGGGAGAAGGGGGCGGAGAGCATGCTAGGAGAAAAGTCTAGACACAAAGGGTGATGGGGGTGGGTGGTGGGGGAATGTTCCAGAAGAGGAGCCAGAGCTAAGACCCGAGGCAAGAAACAAGCATTCAATGAAGGGGTTCAGTGGATGGCAGAATGGAAGGATGAAGGTAGTGGAGTCTTTTGCCACTTTGGTGGCTTGCTTTTGTTTTTTTGTTTTGTGAGACGAGGCCTCTATACATAGCCCTGATCAACCTGGAACCCAGGAGGTAGAACAGGCTACAAAGACCCTCTAGGCCTGCCCCTACTGGGTTGAAAAGCATGAACTACTATAGTCGTAGGATTTTATCACAAAGGTAGCCTAACCTCCCAATGACTCCCTGGAGAGGACGGATGCCCTGGAGGATGGGCTGAGAGGAAAGGCAGGAAGGAGGATGTGAAAGTAGTAGTTGAAGACCCAAGATGTGGCCTGAGGTACTTTCTGGAACTCTGGTGCCCCTAAGTGAACGAAACCTCAGACCCTCTTTTGAAATGCTTCCCCTGAGTGGAGCCCCACTTCTCCTCTCTTAGGTGAAGGGGCCATCCTAGTATCTGGTCTGAAGAGCACACTCCTGAATGTCAAAGCATGGGCTCCCTCTCCCCTGGCCTTCTCATGGTTAATGTAGTACAAGAAAGAGTCCTTCTGCAGTGGGCTGAACTGACCCCTACCTGGTCTACCGCCTTCTGTCGTGGGCTTGGCCTTATTTGGAAACAGAGACCGCAGGCATAAGTAAGTTTGCGGGTCTCGAGATAGGATCACCCTGGAATTTGGGTCTGTCCTCAACCCTATTAGTGGATACCCTTGTGCGAGGAGAGGAGTCAGGCATGGCACCCCCCTGTAATCCTGGTACTGAGATGCTGAAGCAGGAGCAAGAAGAGTTACACAGACAACAGAAGCGTCTCAGGCGACACAGAGTCTATCTTAGAATGCAGAGAAAGGAAAAATGATTGGAGACATCCAGATCCTGAGGAGATGTGGGAAAGAAGGCCACACGAAGAGAGAAGTGGAGACTGGAGCCGTACTGCTACTCCAGGAAGTTAAGAACTGCAGGCAGTCATCACTTGGAAGCTACGAGAGTCAAACGTGGTCTCCCGAGGATCCAGAGGGACCTGGTATCATCGCCGGACTTCGGACCTTTGACCTCAAGAGCATTAGAGAGCACACCTGTCAGGAGCTTTCAGTCCCCATCTTGTCACCTTCTGTAACAGCTGCCACAAATGTCACGCCACATCCCCTGGGGTGTTACGCACCTCACTCCTTTCACTGGTGAGCTAACAGCAGGCAGAAGAAAGGGCCAAGGGTGAGGCTCGGCAATGGAAAACTTGCCCACTGTGCGTGGCACCCCACGTTCAATCCCCTGCAAAACACAGAAAGAGGCTGGACAAATGAAACCGAAGCAGGACACAAAAACAGGAAAGAATCCAACGTGGGGGTTGGGTTCATGCATCAAAGCCCAGAAATTGGGAAGCTAAGGAAGGAGAATTGTCATGATTGTGTGGCTAATCTGGGATGGTGGTTTACATGGGAATGGTCCCCATTGGCTCATATGTTTACAATCTTGGTCTCTCCCAGTTGGTGAAACTATTTGGGAAGGATTAGGAGGTATGACCTTGTTGGAGGAGGTGTGCCATTCCCAGTTAGCTAGTATGCTTTCACTCTCTGTCTCTGTCTCTTGCAGATGAACTTTCTCATCAAGACCACCGGTTCACAAATAATGACACTGAGACTTATTAATTATGGAAGCATGACCTTAGCTTAGGCTTGTTCCTAACTAGTTCCAATAACAAATTATTTTAAGGTCTATGTTCTTTTGCATACATAGTTCAGTTACCTTTACTCTGAACTACCCAACCTGCTTCCTCCACGTCTGGTTGGCAGCTAGGCTTTTCTTCCTTTCTGAGTCCTCTTTGTCCCCAGAAGTCCTGCCTAATGTTATGCCCAAATCCATGGGGTCCCCACAAAAGCCAACAAAGGAGACCAAGTCCCATATGTAAAAGCAAAGAGCCTTTATTTTAATCAAGTTTGCACACTCGGTCTCTCCGCACGTCCAACGTATTGGAATAACCGGAGAGCCCTGAGCTCAATTAGAATTGGGTTTTCATAGTAGTAAAGGTGGGGGTGAGGGGTCTCTGAGGTTCAGGACCCCTGATTGGCTGACATTTGTCTAGGGGTATCCTGGTGAGGTAGATGGCCGGTGATTCTATCTACAGTGGTTGGAATGTCAGGCATTTCCTTTAAATGGTCTGCTCTTGGGTGGGGGTCGGGTAATCTCAGCTAGGTGTTTTCCTGCTACCAGGTATTGCTTTAGGGTAAACTACTGAGACTCAGGCCTCTTATTTAAATTTATTGGCGGCCAGAGTCCCAGGTGATAATGGTTGGAAGTAAAGAACTTCCTTTGGGTGACCTGCTCAGACTTAGATTATCATGGCTGGCCCCCACACCTAACCTCTTCCTGCCCTTTATTAAACTAATCAGTGACACATCTTCACAGAGTGTAAAGAAATATTCCTGTATAATTTCCTCCTTTTTGTCTAAATAAAAAGGAAAGGTTTTTAACTCTAATATAATAAAACTATAAATAATAAGAGTAATTATCAAGTAAGAATTACATTCACAATGTCCAATCCATTTGTATTTGGCAAATCCAGAGAAAATACTCTATTATCTGTCTTATCTTGGTGAATTTAAAGTTTTATACCCAAACCATTTCTGTCATAACTTGTATTACCATCCTAAACTATCTTTGGAGATCTCAAAACATTTTCTTAGATAAACAATTTAAGTTTTTATGTCTCTCAACCTTATACATTTTTAAAAAATATTTATTTATTTATTATGCACACAATATTCTGTCTGTGTGTGTGTCTGCAGGCCAGAAGAGGGCACCAGACCTCATTACAGATGATTGTGAGCCACCATGTGGTTGCTGGGAATTGAACTCAGGACCTTTGGAAGAGCAGGCAATGCTCTTCACTGCTGAGCCATCTTTCCAGCCCAACCTTATACATTTTATATCTTTTTTGTAAGTTTATTTTTTGAATTTGGTAACAAAGAAAACTAACTATTCTTATCTCATCTTCAACTCCATCAGAGACCCGAGGATACAATTACCTAAGTCAACAAGAAACACAGAGCAAGCAACTTACAAAGCTATAGAAATGATAGAAACAGCTGCCTGGACAGTCACCCAAGTTTCCTCTGCATTGTTGAGGCATCCATCTTTGTCCTACAGGCCTAGAATATCCAACAGATTTTTCTGTGAAGCAGGAATATTTGAATGATTGTCATACCATGTCTTGCAAAGTTCAGCAGTTTTGTGTGTGTGTGTGTGTGTGAGACCTATTTGTCCAGGTTGGACAACACACTGTCAACAGTTTAGGCAAGGACAGTTTCTCGCCCAAATGGCTAGCTTTTGTCACAAAGAAAGCACACCCCATATGGAGGTTCTTCGATGCCCATCATTCTTTTTTAAAGTAATTGGTACTGCCAGGAACAGATTGTCTTTCTATTATGAAAAGCTTTCTTTTACCAAAATATCAAAATGCTATATTCTCTAGGTCTTTGAAGTATTCAAAGACCATCTATTTATTTAAAATATATCTCTGTTTGACCTTGAAAATATACCTAACATGACTATCAGTTTGATTGTTATAGGTGACTCTTAACCTATATTTCTTTAGTATCCTAAACAGCCTTTGAGGCTTAAACTTTACATTACCTTTTTAAATGAGCTGCATAGGTACAATACCTTAAACAAGAATAGAAACATATATACAGTATAACAAAATGACCTTAAATTGGTATAATTATACAAAAATTCCTACCTATGTAAATTATATGAGACTAGTGGTTGCTTTTTTTTTTTTTTTTTTAAGGCAGGGTTTCTTTGTGTAGCCTTGGCTGTCCTGGAACTCACTCTGTAGACCAGGCTAGAGTGCTGGGATTAAAGGCATGTGTGATCACCACCTGGCATAGTAGTTGCTTTTTTAGCTTGAAAGTAGAATAATAATATACCTTTTTATTCTATAATTTCTGTATCCGGGCTGGAGAGATGGCTCAGCGGTTAAGAGCACTGACTGCTCTTCCAAAGGTTCTGAGTTCAATTCCCAGCAACCACATGGTGGCTCACAACCATCTGTAATGAGGTCTGGTGCCCTCTTCTGGCCTTCAGGCATACATGGAGACAGAATGTTGTATACATAATAAATAAATAAATAAATAAATAAATAAATAAATAAATAAATAAATAAATAAGTTTTTTAAAAAAATTCTGTATCCCCATTTTTCTTTTCAGAACAAGATCCCTGAGCTAAATTCTTTTGCTTAGTTTCCTCCCTGAACCTAACCAATAACAGTTTGTGACCAAGCCCCCTAAATGATGACAAACATTCATCAAACAACCAAAAACCACCTACCCTATCTCTTGGGAATGTGGGGGTTGTGTACCCTAGACTGCTTTCTGTTGTCTGCAAGGGAATTGTTAGAGAACCTGAAGAGATTGAGATAAAGATCAAGTTCTGGGAGAGTTAGCTAGCTTTCGTCCAGTCTCAGTGTGATGGGAGGGTGCAAGGCTTATCTGAAGTCCTGACTGGAGGAGTCTATGAGGCTGGACCATCATAGCTGACTGCTTTGAAGTTGTTCTGGTGCAGAACTCTGAGGAAACTGCAACAGAGGTGCACTGAGAGGTTGGATCGCCATTTTCATTGGTATCCTGTCCCCTTGTTCTGAAAACACACAAACTTTTAAAGTTGATATACATATCTGCATTAACACAAGTATGGATTGTGCATTTTCCATCTTTATGTGGCTTATCTTATCTTTTTTATATCATTTATTTCTCTCTTTAAAGACTTTATCTTATTGTTAATAAACTATTTTTTCTATGACTGTCTATATGCATTTTCTTTTTGTTTTTTAAGCCTACATGCATTTTTAAAACATACTATAACCTGTTTTTAGAGATTTTTCAGTCTAGCAAAGTCTTTACTGGGCACCTGCTGCAGCATTCTCTGACCATGCGACACAAATCTTAACTGCCATGTCGACTGCCTGCAGCTCGGCTTGGCACACAGCTCTGGCAGCTGACTCCAGTCAGTAGTCAGTCATGCCTCTGTTTGCCAACTACCAGCCCGCCTGAGAGACTGCAGAACTAAGAAGCCGCATCGAGCTCCTTGTCTAGAACTTTTCTTACCTTTCTCGGGCTCTCTGTTTGGATATTCGAGCCCCCACATCGAATGCCACATGCAGACAAACCTTTTCTTTTTTTTTTTTTAAATATTTATTTATTTATTATGTATACAATATTCTGTCTGTGTGTATCTCCAGGGCACCAGACCTCACTACAGATGGTTGTGGGCCACCATGTGGTTGCTGGGAATTGAACTCAGGACCTTTGGAAGGGCAGGCTATGCTCTTAACCACTGAGCCATCCCTCCAGCCCCCGCAGACAAACCTTTTCATCAGGACCGCCAGATCACAAATAAAGATGCAGAGACTTACTAATTATGATGGAAGCTTGGCCTTAGCTTAGGCTTGTTCCTAACTAGTCCTTATAACTTAAATTAACTCATATTTTAAGGTCTATGTTCTTTTGCGTGGTTTGGTTACCTTTACTCTGTAACTACCCATCCCTCTTCCTCTGTGCCTGGCTGGCAACTCCATCTTTCTCTTCCCAGAGTCCTCTCTGTCCCCAGAAGTGCCACCTAACCCCTTCCCACCTAGTTAATGGCCATTTAGCACTTTAGTAATCCAATCACAGTGACACATCTTCACACAGAGTCAAGAAATATTTCGCTACAGTCTCTCTCTCTCTCATGAATCAGATGCCAGCTCTCAGCTACTGCTCCACCGCCATGACAGCCGGCCTCCATGCTGGCAAGCTCCCTGCCATGATGATCACAACTGTAGCCATCTTGAACTGTGAGTCCCCAAACAAAATGCTGTATTTTGTAAGTTCCCTTGGTCATGGTGTCTATTCAAGGCAATGGAAAAGTAAGTAACTAAGATATCTAGGTTACATAGTGAGTTACAGGCCAGTTTTGGCTACAGTGTGAGACCCTGTCTCAAAAAAAAAAAAAAAAAAAACAGGCTGGGTGTTTAGGTCAGTTGGTAAATTGTTTGTCTAGCATGTGCCACACCCTGGGTTTAATCCTTAACATCACATGAACCGGGGTGTGGTGGCCCATGCCTGTAATCTTAGCCCTTGAGGGGTAAAAGTGGTAACATCAGAAGTTCAGAGTCATTCTTGGCTATACAGAGTGTCTGAGTCCCAGGCTAGGTTGGACTGAGACCCATACCATGAGGCTGCCATGGGGACTCAGACTGGCCACCTCCAGTTGTATTCGGTTACTGATGACAAATGTCCCTGGGACTAGGGGAAACTTTCTTGTCCCCTCGTTTAGACTACATCATGGCTCCCAGGGTGGATCAGCATCCCTCTGTACAGAGATAGAAAGCAACCCCTGTCTAGGGATGCTCTGGGGATGGGGACAGGTGCCCCACGCAGGAACGTCCCATCTGAGTCATTCCAGATCCAGCTTCTGTGCCCTGCAGCTTGCCCCGAACACTCGTGTTGTCCTTTGTTAATTAATTCACAGGTGCAGAGTGGGCACCAAAGCCGCTGCACATTGGCATTAATTTTTAATCGCTGTCATTACGAGGCTCCCATTCAACCCCAGCTACAAATTCCATGAATCATCACCACTACGCCGCCGCTCTGGCTTTTTTTTTTTTTTTTTTTTTTTTTTTTTTTTTATAAACATTGCTCTGTGTGATGTGGAGTTAGTGAAGATCTTTCCCATTCTGTAGGCTGTTGATTTGAGTTTTTGACTGTGTCCTTTGCTTTAGAGAAGGTTTTTAGTTTCAGGAGGTCCCATTAATTAATTTTTTTTTTTTTTTTTTTTTTTTTTTTTTTTTTTTTTTTTTTATAAACATGCCATTCTGAAAAGCATCTGCCCGGAGTGCCCAGAGCTTTAGAACTCTCTGGCTGCCGAGAATGGTGAGGTCAGCAACCCATCCTCCCCCCACCTCGCCAGCCTTGCCCGGGGGCCATCTCCCTTTTATCCTGTGTACCTGTCTTACCCCTACACTCTCACCCTGAGTTCCTAGAAAGACTCCCATGGCACGAGACAGCCAAATTTCTCTCCACATCCCAGATTCCCCATCAGTTATATGGATCTATAAGTGTTACCTACTTTGGATAAATACCAGGGTGGAGGAGGTGTTGTGGTTTGTTTGTTGAGACAGGCTCTCACTCCATGTCCCTGGCTGGCCTGAAATTTGCTCTGTAGACCGGGCTGCCCTCTACATCACAGAGATCCCCCTGCCTCTGCCTCCTGACTGCTGGGAATAAAGGCGTATGCCACCATACCTGGCTTAAACCGTGTTTCTGTTTTATTTTTTATTATACTTATTTACTTTGTATGTTGGAAGGTGTATGCCAAGGCGTCTTCTAGAGACCAGAGGACAACTTATGGGGCCAGTTCTCTCCTTTCACCACAATATGGGTTGCAGGGATCAAACTCATATTATCAGTCTTGGCTGCAAGCTCCACTTACCCATTGAGCCACCCCACTGCCCTACAAGTACCAGTTCCATGGGAGTTGTCTTTCCATGAGAGGACAGGGCCTATGTGCTATCTCGGTATGACACTGGGAATACATAGGGCCTGAGGCACAAGGATCCAGCTTCCCTGTCCCCAGTCTACAGTGCCATCTATTCTTTTGTCACAGTTCACTATTCTGTTCCTGCGGGCCTGGCAAGATGTGCTCTGGGTGGAGCTTGTTGCTTGTTCAGTGCCCCCCCACCCCCAGTTGCCAAACTCGGAGCTTTGATGAGCCCAGCAGTCCGAGAGTCATTGGTTTGGGGAGGTGTGGCTGCTGCTGCTCAGTGACCTTAGTGTGCCGTGCCCTCTCCATCTCTGTGTGTCCCAAAGATGCCATTTAGTGGGGACATCTGCTGACTGCATAAACAGCCACCTACATACACTGTAGGGCAAAGGGGCCCAACAGGCAGAGTTCCATGCCTTTGAGCCTGGCGGGTCTGCACCCTGCTTCCTAAAAACCGTGAGTTCAGGTCTGCTCCCAAGACCTCACTCCTTTGTGGTTCCCAGGCCTCAGTGAGGAAGAGGACCTTGTTTCTCAGGACAAGACAAGGCCCCTGAGGCCCAAGACTGTGACTGGGTTATTGCTTATACCTACCTACGAGAGGACCTAGGGACTGAAGAGTCAGTAAGTTAGGATCTTTGCGAGTCTCAGGAAACAAGCGCAGGTTGGTGTGGTCATCCCCTCGTTTCCCTTCTAGACTGTTTCGTCCAGGAGTCTTGGCTTGGTCTTCAGGTTACTCACCACTTGTCTATGGTTCTGGGCCCAGAGCCTCTCCAGGCTGAACAGTGGCTTCCCAGGGCCTGTCTTGAGAGCAAAGAAGAACCTTCACAGGCCCTACAGCTCGGGGAAGACTGCAGACCCCACTGTCAACCAAAAGGGGGCTGGCAGAGTGGCAGATGGGGCCAGCTGGGACTGCACCTGCTTTCTTCCCACGTCTCCATTGTCCTTTGCCTGTCTGGCCTCTGGCCCACCTAGTCTGTTGAGGAACTAGGTTAAGGTGTGTGACTTTTGTTTATGTTGCATTTGTTTAACTCTGTGAAGCTGTGATCCTTTGCCTGATGGGCACCTGATGGGCTAATAAAGAACCGAACAGCCAATAGCAAGGCAGGGGCAAGGATAAGTGGGGCCCCCAGGCAGAGGGAATATATAGAAGGAAAATCTGGAAGGAGAAAGAGAAGCAGCCAGAGAAGGAGAAGGACAGGGGTCAGCCACCCAGCTATGCAGCAACCCATGGAATAAGAGTAAGATTTACAGAAGTTATATAATGGGAAAATCCCAGAGGCAAGAGGTAGATGGGATAGTATAAGCTAAGGAAAGCTGGCAAGAAACAAGTCAAGCTAAGGTTGGATGTGTATAACTAAGAAGAAGCCTCCATGTGATTTATTTGGGAGCAAAAGAGCCAAAAGAGTAAATACTAAACATCATAGTATACTAGTCCCTGGGAGGGACCCTCTCATTCACTCACTCAGACTCGCAAGTACTTGTCACTAGTAGAATCACACAGTTTAATCCCAAGACTCAGGAGTCAGAGGCAGGCCACTACTGCCTTGCCAGAGTCCCTATTTGAACCTGGAAAAGAAAGACAATCTTCCTATGCTTTGGTTCGAGATCAGTCTTGGGCCAGCAGAAGAAGGTTCGAAGAGGAAGTCCAGTTATAGAATATGTCCTTAACACATGCTCTGTCCTGGGTTCCATATCCAGGGTCACTCTTCATTTTAGGGCTGGGGACGTAGATCAATAATACAGTACTTAACTTCAGAAGCCATTTCTGATAACCAGACTTTGGGAAGGACCTGAGACCTTTGCCCACACTCTAAAGACAGCCACCTTGTGATATCCTACTTACGTGTATTGAAAAAAATCCTTTGCCTGCAAAGCCCTGAACTCACTCTGGAAAGAAGTCTAAAACCGTGGCATCCTCAGTCCTGTGCTAGGAGCTCTCAGCATTGGAAAGGCAGTTCTGGAAAGGAGGGGTTCTTCCCGCATGCCTCAGGCACTGTCTCTTCTCAAACAAACCTGTAAAACGCCAAAGTAGACTGTAATTGTTAGCAAACTTCTAACCTGGGGGTCTGGGCCCCCCAGGGGTGCAGCATGACCACCCAGGACTATGGATGGTCATGCAGCAGGGATCCATGGAGATCGGCACCCACTGACCTAGAAGGAATGATTCTCCCAGGCCTGGCTGCATGCAGCGTCCTTCACTGTGAGTCCGACCGAGGTCACAGATTCGATCTCTCTTTGAGGTCTACTGTGTCCATAAGAAAAACTCCATTTTCATCCCCACCAACTGCCCTCTGGCCTGTTATTTCTAAATAATTATTGGGTCACAAGGCAGACAGACAGAGCACAGATGGAAACACCCTCCAGGCCCCACTATTGACAGGGAAGCCATTGTGCCCATTTTGTGCAGCAGCCCAGAAGGCGTGGGTGGCAGTAGCAGGTGACAGAGGGTGGACCCTCCTCTCTGCCTGAATAAACCGCCCTGACCTGGGGCCAGGATATGAGAGGGAGACTTAGAACAACAAAGGGGCACAGGCGCATCCTCCATGACCTCCTGTCCGCTAGGACTTTGCCTTCCTCTGGAGTTCATCAAACCCACAGCTGTCCTGGCTCTGGCTCCTAGACGAGGTGGTGGATTCCATCTCTTGGTTAATTTCCTGGTCCTGATGCATTTTCTCCAAAGGAGTAGACAGCTGGTGGATACCTCTGTCGGCTTGGGCTGCTGTAACAACACGGACTGTTTTTAGAAGCGTACACCCTGGAGATAGGGCTGTGGTTCAGCTGGTGGAGTGCTCCCCTGCAGGCAGGAAGCCCTGGGTTCCATCCCTCACACATCATTAACTGGACGCAGTAGTGTACCGGTGCATGCCTGCGATCTTAGCACTCTGGAGGTGGAGGAAGAGAGCAGAAGGCTGGCTACATAGCAAGGTCAGGGCCTCAGAAATAAGACTCTGTCTCCAAAAGTCAAGGGTGAGAGCTGGCTCAGCGGGGGAAGTGCTTGTCATGCAAGCTTGAGAACCTGAGTTTGGAGCCCTAGAACCTGTGTAAAAACCACTGGGGAGCTGGGCAGTGGTGGCGCACACTTTTAATCCCAGCCCTCGGGAGGCAGAGGCAGGCAGATCTCTGTGAGTTTGAGACCAGCCTGGTCTACAAGAGCTAGTTCCAGGGCAGGCTCCAAAGCTACAGAGAAACCCTGTCTTGAAAAATCTAAAAACAAAAACAAACAAACAAACAAAACACTGGGGAGGTAGAAACAAAACAGGTTCCTGGAGCTCACTGGCAAAACCAGAGTACCAGATTCAGTAAGAGAGTCTGTCAAATAATAATAATAATAATAATAATAATAATAATAATAATAATAATAATAATAATAATATAAAAAAATAAAAAGGGAGAGTGCTGGAAATGGCTCAGCAGTTTAGGACATTTGTTGTCCTTGCAGAGGACCCAGATTTGGTTCCCAGCATCCATATGGCAGCTATCCCCCATCTATGACTCCAGTTTCTGGGGATCTGACACCCTCTTTTGCCCTCTATGGGCACTGCATGCAGGTGGTGTACAGACATACACGGAGTAAAACACCTATACACACAAGAGAAATCTTTCCATTTGTTTTTCCAGGCAGTCAGAACTGTCCCGGAACTAGCTCTTGTAGACCGTGCTGGCCTCGAACTCACAGAGATCCATCTGCATCTGCCTTCTGACGGCTGGGATTAAAGGCATGCGCTACCACTGCCCGGCTACAAATAAATAATAATAGTTATAATAATGATCATGATAATAAGGTAGGGCCAACAAGATGACTCAGAGGGTGAAAGTGCTTAGTCTGCAAGCCTGGTGACCTGAGTTCAATCCCTGGGACCCACATAAAGCTGGAAGGAGAGGGATAACTCCTCCATAGGGCTGTCTTCTGACTCCCACACGTGCCACGACATGAGTACCAAAGTCGTGTATCATGTGCATACACACAATGAATAAGGTGAAGGGTGAGACTGAGGAAGTCGCCCCTGGCACTCACAGTTCTTTCATGAAAGGCAGTGCTAAGGATTTAACCCAAGGCTGCGTGCATCCTAGATAAACCCTGAACCACTGAACTGCACCTCAGCAGCACTGGGGACTGAGTTTTATTGAGATAGGGCCTTCATTCCCTATGTGGCCCAAGCTAGCTACTGGCTACAATAACCCTTCTTCATCCTCAAGAGTGCTGGGATTAAAGGCATGTACCCTGATGCCGGCCAGCCTCTGGTGGTGGTTGTTGGTTGATTGTGTGTGTTTTTTTTTTTAGACAGAATCTAGCTATGTAGGCAGACTGAGCTAGAACCAATGATACCTTCTGCATAGAGCCTCTGGGGTTACAGTCATAAACCACAAGGCCCAGCAGACTCTTCTTACAATTCTGGCAAATCCAAGATGTGACAGATATCTGGGGAAGGCTCTCTACTTGGGTGGTAAGGTCCTGTTATCACAGCCTGCAGAGGAGGAGGAGATTGAGCTGTGGTCTCTTTCTGGTCCCCACCTTCATGACCCCATCTCAACCTAGTCATTTCCCAGAGGCCCCACCTCTTAAGATCATTCCTGTTGACAGAGCTCTTAGGGTGGTTGTAGGGGATCAACTTCTTCTGTAGCTTGTGTATTTATTTCTCTCTGTGTTTTGTTGTTGCTTTGTTTTTTTAAAAATTCATTTATTTTATGCATGAGTGTTCTATCTGCATATACACCTTTTATGCCAGAAAAGATCATCAGATCCCACTATATATGTTTGTGAGCTATCATGTGGTTGCAAGGAATTGAACTCAGGACCTCTGGAAGAGCAGCAGCCAGTGCTCTTAACTGCCACTGAGCCATCTCTCCAGACCCATTGCTTTGATTTTTTTTTTTTTTTTTTTTTTTTGTTTTTGAGGGGAGTGTTGTTTGTTTGGGACAGGGTTTCTCTACATAGCCCTGGCTATCCTGGAATTCACTATGTAAATGAGACTGATCTTAGACTCAGAGATCCATCTGCCTCTGGAGTACTGGAATTAAAGGCATGCACCACCATGCTGGGTTTGTGTCTGTGTGTCTGTATGTTTTGAGACAGGGTTTCTCCGAGTAGCCCTGGTTATCCTCCTGGAACTCACTTTGTAGACAGGCTGGCTTTGAACTCAGAGATCCACCTCCCACTGCCTCCAAAGTGTTGGGATTAAAGGTGTGAGCCACCACCGCTCGGCACATGTTCATTTCTTAAAGAGCCATGTGTTAAATAAAGGCTTTGTCCCTAGGACAGTAGTATAGAAGGTGGTGGAAACCTTAAAAGCCAGGGTCCACGGGGAGGTCTTTAGGTCACTGGGGGTGTGACATGGAAAGGACAATGCTCCCCTCCTCCCACCCCTGCCTCTCCTCCCAGAAGTCTATCTCTGTCTGTCTGTACCACGATGATGCTCTATCTACACCCAGTCCTGGGAACGGAACCAACAGACCGAACGGGGACCTCCAAACCTGCACGAAACAAACCTTTTCGAAGGCGATTCTCCTAGGCATTTGTTATGGTGACAGGAAGCTGACAACAAACTCCCCCAGCTGCTGGCCTGTTCAGCCTTCCCCTCCTACACAGTTGCCCGAATCCATGCTCGGGCCAACTGTGTGCCCTTGGCTAAGTAAAAACTTGTCCTGGTCTTCACGTGGCAAGTTCTGTCCTCTGGGGCTCAGCTGAATGGCTCTTCCTAAGGGGCCAGGATACCCATCAGTTTATGCCTATTCCTATATTTTTGAGACAGGGTGTAGCACAAATTCTAATTGGTCTTAATAAATAAAACCCGGAGTCAGATATTAGGGGGTAAGAGCTGAAGGGTCAGCGAAGCCGTGCAGCCAACCGCTAAAGAGACCGTTTACCTCTATCAAAGGGGTGATCCTATACTCAGACTGTCTTCTCAGACTTGGTCCTCAGACAGCAACTGCCTCCACTAAACCTTAGACTGTACTGGGCCTCTTGTCTCCTCCTGCCTTATATTCCTCTCTTTGCCCAGCCATCTCACTCCTGTCTCTACCTCCCTAGTGCTGGGATTAAAGGCATGGGATCCCAAATGTCAGCAGGATCACCTCTGTGTAGCTGTTTCTCTTTGGACAGATTTGATCTTGCATAGTCCAGGATGTCCTTGAACTAACAGATCCTTCTGCTTCTCTCTCTCCAGAGTCCTGGGATTAAAGGTGTGAGCTACCACTCCCTGACCTCTAGTGGCTTAGCTCTGCACTCTGATCTTCAGGCAAGCTTTATTTGTTAAAGCATAAACAAAATATCACTACAACAGGGTCTCACTCTGTAGCTCTGTCTGGCCCGGAACTCACCATGCAGGCCAGACTGGTACTTACCATATAGACCAGGCTGGCATTAAGCTCACTGAGATCGGCCTGCCTCTGCCTCCCAAGTGATAGGATTAAAGCTGTGGGCCACCAATCGCAGACTATTTTTTTTAATTTTTAGATTTAGTTACATGTATGAATGTCTTGCCTGCGTGTATGTATACTCTGTGCATCCCTTGTGCCACAGAGGTGACACAGAACAGGGCATTGGCTCCCTGGGATCAGACGGCTGTGAGCTACCATGTGAAGGCTGGGAATTGGACTCAGGTCCTCTGCAAGAAAAGGGCTCTTAAAAAAACCAACCAACAAACAAACCCCAAATCAAACCAAAACAAAAATTCCTTTGAGACTTCAGTGTCAAGAAACAAACACTAACCCGATCTCCATCCATCTCAATCCTGTAAACGAACAAACAGGAGAATATTTCCCTACCTTGAGAGCTCAGAGCCCGGGGCAGGCCCACCGGGCACTTAGTTCATGGTACTGTTTGTTCTAGTATTGTTTTCTCTCTGGTCTATTTTTACCCTATTGTATTTTGTGTAACTTCATAAGCTGCTTCCAAACCTTTCTGGATCAGAGTGGGACATAAAAGAAAACACAATTCAGGAGAGCTCCCGTGGGCTTGGCAGGTTGCTTTTTGTTTATTTATTGCCTAGTGTAACCTTAGGATTGGATTCCTGGAGTGGAGGATCACAACTAACCTTGACTCCCCTCCCCTTCCCCCCCCCCAGCTCCCAAAAGTCTCTCTCCAGGGGGAACAGCAGCTAAGTGGGGCTGGGCAACAGGTTGCAGAGGCCAAACCGCCAACGTCCATCTGTCAGCGAGCTTGACTTCCTCCCTCATTCCTCATAGACTCCCATCTGGCTGTTGGCAGGAAGCCTCAGGGGCTTAGTGGGGCTTGTGAAGGGAGAAGGATGAGTGAACAGATGAATGTTCTTTTTATTCCTAACTTCTTCCTGCATCCTCCATCAGGGCCTCGGCCAGGGATGGATGTGCGCAGGTTAGGGCTATAGTCCAGGGTACAGGAATGACAACCTGTGGATAGGATGGGTGGAGGTGGGGTCTCTGAAAAGCTATTACAGGATGTTTCCAGGGCTGGGAGGACAATAGCACCTGCACACCCGTGAAGGCCATCCCCCTGCATCTCTCCCTGAGTTCCTAAAGCCCTCCCAGTTGGGATACACAGGACCCAACCCTCAGTATTCTTTCTCCTCCCAAGCTGGATGAACCAGGGCCAGCTTGGCAAGTTTCTCTCTGCTCTGTGGTTCTCCTCAGTCCCATCCTCCAGTCTCTGTCTTCCAATCTGTAATGTGGGAACAACTGGGGAGCCAGATTTGAGGCTTGAATGATACTAAGAGTCCCCGGGATGTCGAGATCCTGACATCTTCCATCCCCCTCCCCGTGGCGACGTGTTGAGTCTTGGTGGAGAGAAGAGGGTATGTGGCATGACGGGATCAAAGATGAGCACACAGGACCAAACTGGCCGTATCTGAGGCTGTGGGCTCCAGAGGTAAAGGTCCAGCCTGGCTGAGGTGGGAAAGACAAGGTGGACCTTTGCACTGCCTGCTAGGCACAGCCAGCAGCCTCTCAGCGAGTGAACAGTTGTCACTGAAAAGTCAGGAGTTTAAACCCACTGGGGTTGCCAGCCAGGCCTCGGCCAGGTGCTGCCCACTGGGTAGTTTTTACCTGGTCATTCTGGGTCCCAGTGTGTAGATCATTTTCCGGAAAGGCCGAGCTGTTGCGAGCAACGACTCCAGAAGCCATTCCTGATGTGTCCCAACTTCACAATTCCCTAGCTGCATGGAGTCCCTTAGGTCCTTTATCTTCAGCTGCTTCATTGGCCGTGTGCTGGCCATCGAGGTGGCTCTGTGGGGAAGGGTGTTTACTTCTAAGTGGACCTGAGTTCGACGCCTGCAACCCACGTGGTGGAAGGAGAGAACCGGGTCCTCTAAGTGGTCTTCAGACCTCTCCAGGCACAACACTCCTCCCACTTCAGCCCTCAATAAATGTCATTAAAAATGTTTAAGTAGATGTGCTATAAATACTCCCACTTCATAAAGGCTGCGTGACACTTGGGAGACTGAACACTGAGGATGGTTCTGATGTGTGGCAGTCACACCACAGGCATCCCTTTATCACATTAGTGGAACAGGACAGGATGGTATGGGTCCAAGATGGAAACAGAGCGCCTAGGGGGTAGCATGGAGGGAGCATGCGTGGAGGAGAGCTGGGTCCGGGCAGAGCAGGCAGTAGGCCCCACGCTGGCTTGTTATTGGGCCAGAAGCCTTGGGGGTCTCCTCAGGTTTTGAGAGCTGAATTAAAATGACGGTTTCAAGTCATCCGAGGTACAAGGTCTCCTAGAATATCTGAGACCTGGACCAGGCCTGGTGACTCACGCCTGAAATCATAGCATTCTAGAGGCTGAGACAAGAGGATAGTTATCAGAATTCAGGGTCAGTTTGAGAAAGGGGTGGGGTATGGTCTGCGGTGTGGAACCCCTAGGTTTCTTTGGTACAGTTCAGAGACCAAAAACAGCCACGTGAGTTAGAAGGTGGGGGGCAGTCAGCGAGGCTCTCCTACCTGCATCTCCTGGGTCTGTGGAGCCCGTCACTGTTCAAGTCCCCGGAAGGCCTGGTGGGAAGGCTCCTACCGTGCCACGTCTGCTGACTTCTAGGTCAGTCTGGGGTGGGCAGAGGGACTGGGAGGGAAGGGTATCTCTTGCTCCATTACCCCAATAGTTCCTTCTTACCCAAATCACTGAAGACAGGCTTTAGGCCAGAGTAGCCCTAATACTCTCAGAGGGTTCCCACGTGCCCCACCCTGCTCTTAACTCCTCATTAAACATGTCTCTCAGTAGTCTTAATGAGCCTGTCTGGGGACAGTGAGATACGGGTGACACTCTAATTATGCCTTTAATTGTTTCCCAGGGAGAGGATGCACAGGAAGCCCAGATTTCTGTCGACTCTGGAGAACTCCGCCAGAACTCAGCTGAAGAATTCCTTTCATTTCCTTAAATTTCCAGAGAGCCAAGCAGGGGCCCTGTCCAAGCTTCTTAGAGCCAGCGGGGCTGTTAGAGTGTGGGTGTGGGAGAGGCAGGGTCGAGATGGGAGCCATGGCTGTAGGTGGAGGGGTCACCTGGTTCCCACACCCAGGGCAGGCGCTGGCAAAGGATGCCATCTGGAAGTCTGCTCTCCAAGACAAATGGTGGAACGGGAAGGAGGCCATTTATCTCTGCTCCCTAAGTCCCGGGGCTTGCAGTACCCTGCATGATTCCTGGGGCCTGAGGACAGAGCGGTCCCATTCCAGGAACACAGGAATAAACCCTGCACCACAGGCTCCGCCCCACCCTGCAAGAGCAGTAGCACTCCCATTTTACAGAAAGGGCCAAGGAACAGAGAGGCCCAGTAACTGAGGGGCCCCCCAACTGGTAGGTAGCCTTGGAGAAGACAGAGCCTGCAGGGGCCTGCTCAAGCTGAGAGGCACAGGAGGCTTTGTCCCTCCCAGAGTCCTGAAGGTAGGGTGGCCGCAAACAGGGAAAGAAGCTACTTGGAAACTCACTGAGGCCAGAAGCCCCTGGTTGACTGTACTGGTTCAATGGTCAACCTGAGGAGATCCAGAATCGCCTGGAAGAACCTCTGGGCGTGTGCATGTACGTGTGCGTGTGTGTGAGACTGAGTTACTGGAGGTAGGAAGAGCCACCCACTATGGGTGGCACCATTCCCTGGATTGCCCTCCTAGGCTGTATGAAAAGTCGAGCCCCAGCACTCACTACCCTTTCTCCTATGGACTGGGCATGATCAGTTGCTTCAAGCTCCTGCTTTTGCTAGAACTGAGACACTGACCAGTTTCCCACACCCTGAAATAAGACCCCAGGAAGGAGAGGCAGACACCAGGGGCGCGAGGAGGAAATTTTAATGTTTTCTTACTGCTTTATCAATGTCATGGAAAAAAAATACAAAGTTTAGAGTCTAGAAATGACCAGGTAGATTGGGAGGGGGCGTGTGCTGTTGGCCAGAGGCACAGGTCTGTGGCTCTGTCAAAGCCTACCTACGTAGGAGCACCAGTCAGGAGCCCAGTGAGTGTTCCAGGGTCAGGATCTGGAAGGACTTTGGAAGGAGAGCAGCCCATGGCAGGCCACCACCCTCATCTGGCCAGAATCCTGCTGTAATTTAGCTTGCTCTCTCTCCAGATTCCTACTGGTTATACTAGACCAGGAGGTAGGCCAGCCTGTTCCCAGCATAGACACCCCTGGGGCTCAGGCCCCCGATTCTGTTCATGTCCTGGGTAGAGTTACAGGAACCGAGCAAACAGATTTCAGACAAGCAGTCAGGAGCCATGGTGCTATCCTGTAACCTCAGCTCCTAGGGTGAGGCTTTGCTCTGAGTTTGAGGCCATCTTGGGCTACAGAGACCGTGTCTCAAAAAACAAACAAATAAAAACCCACTTTCCTTAACCTGGAATTCAAAATGAATACAGTCTTGCTACGCCTGGCCCGCTGCCCACCCCAAGTTGAAAGAGGTTGAGAAGGGAAGGAGGCCCTGCCTCCTTCAGAGGAGGGCAGGGGGAGGGAACCACCTGGTCAAAACACAGCTCACACTTCGGGGAACAATGCATTATTTAACGGTCATATTCCAGAACTTTCCTACATAGTCCTCACTCAGCTGTTAACAGCTATGGAGGTGGGGTTCATGGACAAACACTGGTGGCGGCTGCCCCACACGGTTCAGCCTGGACAGGGTCTGTACACCCAGACTGGAGTAAGCTAACAGTCACGGTGCCACCAAGACAATCTTGCTAACAGGGTTACCGTCCCCTGGTGGGGGACCGACACTGCTCTACTCCGGTTTAAACGTAAGAACAACCAACAAATGCACCCATAGGGCAGAGCAAGCCCTTCCTGCTCCTACTGCCACCGAGGAAGGGCCCCTTCTTAAAAACCCAAGAAGCTGGGGTCCGGGGGAGTTCCTTCTACCCCCCTCCCCCGTCCTGGCTCCTCGGAAGGACTGCGGTTAGTGTATTGCTTGAGGCTGTCCCCTGCTCCAGCTGAACCCTAAGAGCACCAGGCTTCCAGTGAGGAGCCAGGGGTGGGAGAAGATCCCGGACATGTGGCCACCCTACCTCCCTGGTCCCCAGGGTCCATGACCTTGGCGAGAAGGCCACACCCGGCTGCCCTGCCATCGCTATGGGAACACAGACTAACATCTGGCATCCATCTGAGGTCAGGCTGGAAGCAAGGGGCCCAGAGAGAGGAGAATGGATTCCTGCTGGGACACAGCTCTGTCCCAGGCTGCTGCGGTGGAGGAAGGACAGGTCAGAGTCAGGCCATCAGTACCCATGCTACCTCCCTGGCACCCCAGTCCCCGAGGTCCAGGGTCTACTCCAATATGAGGCTCTTAGCTGCACCTACATAGGAAGGTCAAAGGTCATCATGAAGGCAGCAGCAGGGAGAAGTTGTAGCCCAGAGTTGTGGAAGCTACCGTCCAGCTCAAACGCGGATCTCATCTTCCTCCTCCTCTTCATCCATGAAGGAGAATTCCTTGTCTGGCTGCCTTGGGGCAGCAGCCCGGGCCCTGTCTGGGCCTCGGAAAGCTGGGCTGCGCTCCTCCAGGACGCCTGAGGTGCAACTGGACAGGGAGCTGCTGTCCCGGGTGGTATAGCTGCCCACGCTGCGTGCTGAGCTGGGGCTGGGGGCCGCTGCCGCCCACCCGTCATCCTCCAGAGCATGTGGGGGCAGCATGGGGGTCTGGTCCGCGCTGGCCTTGCTTTCCTGTCTTCCTATAGGAGGAGCTACCTCCAGCAAAGGGGGTGCCTGGACCATGCTGCCGGGGCCTTCTTTGTCACGGTAACCACCACCTTCTTCCTCTTCCGGGTCCCATTCATCCTTGTCCATGATGCTGAGGACATCGCCCAGCATGGAGGGCCCCAGGTCAATGTGGAAGGACATGATGGACTCAGCATGTTTCAGCCCATAGCTGGCCTTGGGCACAACGGGTAGATCTGTCAGGTCTCCAAAGGCCTGCTCGTCAAGGAGTGGGTCAGGAGAGTGGGGGCCTGTGGCCCCATTCCGATGAGGACCCACCTCCCCTGAGCCAGTCTCCTGGCCACCATCTCCAGCATCTGCTTTCTTCACAGGGCTGGACGACAGGCTCTTGGGTAGCTTGCCGGAGCCCTTCTCAGTGGCTTCCTTCTCATTGAGCTGCGGCAGGGACATGGCATTCTTGACAAACAGTGCTGAGTCCCGCAGGGAGCCCAGCATGTCTCTCTGCTCCCGGTCCCCTCTGGTCACGGACTGTGACCGTTTACTGCCCCGGAACTTGCGGGACAGGAGGCTGCGTTTGGAAGACGAGGAGGTGGAAGCCTGATCATCGAGGGACTCCCCGTCAGCCTCACCTGCCTTGCTAGTGAGGAAGGAGGTATCCCCGAAGGCATCTCCAGCCCGGCCCACGTGCATGGTGTGGCGGAAGTCACCCAGAGGGGCACTGATCATCTCAGCTGTGAGGTCCACCCGGGAACGGCGCTTCGAGTGCACAGAGCTGGACACCAGCTGCTTGAGGATGGGCATTGTGCCGGCCGGGAGGGGAGGCGGACACTCCCAAGGTAACAGGCAGCTGTGGGGTGAGATCGGAAGTCCAGCAAGCACAAAGGGTAGGCAGGGTAATCAGAGGGCTGTAAGCAGAGAACAGAAAGCAAAGGGTTAATATAGACGTGCCTCATGATGTCCACCCACCAAAGGACCACCATTTAACCCTTGACTTCTCATCAAAACTGCTGGAAAACTGCCAGTAGTGGCCTTCCTCACCTACGCCTCCTAACACGGAAAGATATTTATAAACTGGGCGAGAGTTTGGTAGCGGAGACATATTTTTCTCTGACACCTGAGGTGGAAAGAATCTCCTCAAATTCCACATGGTCACCCCTATCCCTGCCTGAGCTGGACTGTTGTTTGAACAAACCACCTTAAATGGTAGTTACAATCCCAAAGGTACTACAGCAAACAGGTTCTAGACAGCCAGTGGTGGACAGGAGCTTCCTGCTGTCTAACCTGGATCCCTGTGGAGTCGGTGGACACCTCAGCCTGAGTCAGAGAGAACAGAATGGCCAGGCCAGGCCCAAACCGAGCCTGTCACTTCCACACATGCGGGCGACTGGCCAGCCTCGCTCTTTCTGAATCAGAATTAGGGTGGGGAATGCAGGAACCCACAGAACCAGCTCCCTGACCTTCCAGCTCTTGTGGGGTGCCACATGCATGAAGATTCCTGCCTGTGACATCACTGTGAGGCCCCAAACTCTGCTAGAGACTCACTTTATCTCCCATCCCCTGGGGAGATGAAGTTGGAGGGAAATTCCCTCCTGGTTTCTTTATTGTTGCGGCTGGAGGGAGATGGGACTCTAGATGACTTTCTCTTGGGACATGCAGGGCCCTGGGTGACTAACTAGAAGTCCAGGGACAGCACAGGGGGATCTCAGGGCATAGCCTCTGGCAAGGAAAGCTTAGTGTCAAGGTCCCAAGCCAGGTCCTTTCTCCCCAGCAGAGTTGGGCCCCTGGCTGTCTGCCCCTTCCCTCCCTATCCCACTAACAGCTGGACAGCCAGGTCTTACTGGGGCCCACCTGTTGCACTGCAGGGCTCAGTGAGGCCTAGCAGGCTTGGGCTGCTCCCGCTGCCCCAGGCCAGGCCACCCAGGCCACCTGTCCCTCCCTGACTGTTGCTTAACTGGTCTTCTTGCCTGCCCCATGCCTCTCTCTTGTTCTTGCTTTCTTAGCTAAACAAACAAATGACCCCCCCACCCCTACCCCCACAAAACCCAACCACAGTAACATCCCCCTCCCTGCAAACCTCCCAGGACTGTTTCTGCTGCCCTCCAGATATCACTGCCAGCCACCCACCCTTCCCTTGCTCTCACCCTCCCCGCTTGCGTTTGATACGAGGTATCCTCTTCTAACACCCCAACATCCGGTGCCCACAACAACCCTAAGGAGAGACAGTGCTGCTCCAGAAGGCCTCCATATCCAGAGTTAGTCCTCCAGGCCACCTGCTTCACACAGCATTTTAAATGTCCCCCTCCTGACAGGCACCTGTTACATCACTCTGTCCCTGCCAGCTGGACTCTAACCTTCCAGTCAGGCTAAGGCTTCCAGAGGGTTCTAACTGGTCCCGGTTCTAATTCCTGTCTAGCACCCGTGTGTCACACAGCTGGATTTCAACATTTAAAGTGGGGCCACTGCCACCCCAACCTCACGCAGTCCTTTGGTATCTCGCCATCAGCCTTCATGTCAGCCCTTTCAGCCCACAGCACAGCCCCTGGGCGCCTTGCTTGACCTCTCTTTGCTCCCTGCATCTTCCTTCCCCTACAGTCTGTCATCCAGTCAAACAGCCAGTCTAATGGCCGCCCCCACCACCGAGAGCAACACCCAAGCAATTACACTGCTGCTCTCAGCAAATACCAAGAGGAACCAGGCACAATGGCAGGTAGATCTACTTATTATACAGGTGACCTGGGCCACCTTAGGGTCAGGGAGAACCCTGAGCAAATTTTGAGGAAAACTCTTCTTTAGCCTAACAAAAACAGGGCTGAGGAAAATGGGTAAAATGCTTGCCACTCGAGTGTGAGGTTCTGAGTCTGGAGCCTCAGAATCTGTGTAAAGCCAGATGTATCTGCATCCTTCCACCTACAGAGAGATGGCAGACAACCAATTCACAGACATATGGAGGCTCGCTAACCTGACCTACACAGTGGTTACCAAGAGCCCC